TAGATCTGGAACTCCCCTCCCCTATTTTCCCTCCCCATAATTTCAGTCACCTCCCATCTCTACTCCACCCAAGCACTGCTCACCCTTCTCCATCCGTCGTTGAGCCCAGCCACCGAGCTAGGAACGAAGGAGAACGAAGGCTTCACCGCCAGTCGCCGAGAGGAGGAGGAAGGAGACTCCTCGTCGCTATTCCTTTTGCCATGTTAAAGGGTATGAGGCAAATTCGATGAAGGTGAACAGATAGTGTGAGATGATTTTCGTGTGTGAGGGGAAGATTAGAGGGAAGATAGAGGTAGAAGATTGGAGGAGCAATAATGGGTTTGAGGGAAAGATCGGAGGAAAAGAGAGGGGAAGATCGGAGGGAGTGGGAGAGAGACAATGCTTTTTCAGAAGGCATTTGTGGAGAGAGAAGGGAAGATAAGAGGTCACGGGTTTTTTTTTTTTGTTATTTTCATTTAAATTCAGGTGCAAAAATTGTTAGTCCAATCAGCATATAGCATGATGACACCGTTAAAGTATACTTTAACGTAAATGGCTAGATTTGTCATACAACAACTACAAATTCGGCTATAAGTGGTATTTCTAAAAAATTGGCTATTATTGTTATGAACGCGGAATTTTTGGCTATACAGATGTATTTTTCCCAAAAATATATGTAAACAGTATGGAGTTAATTAATTGTTGTGATTGTGTGAATTTGATTAGTCTCTTAGAAATTATTATAGGTTGGAAAAGACATTCCTTTCAAATTTTCACCTAATATATTATATGAGTTTTATTTGAATGGGGCGTTCATATATCATGGTCTACTCTTTACAAATACAAATATATAGTATAGGAACAATATTGAACTTTATTGTTGATGAGCCTAAAAGGAATGAATGTTTGGCTCTTGAGTAGTTATGCCAAGTATTAAGTATGTGTATATAATTTATATTAGATATATGAATAATTACTTATCTGGTTAATTTGGTTTGATTGGTTAGCAGTGTCTGAAACCAAACCACAGGAACCAAGAAAGCTAAACATTTTAACCAAACCAAACCAATTATCACCAAATTAGCCAAATACTACTGGTTAAAGCGATTACCACGGTAACCACACCGTTTGAATACCCCTAGTTATCAGGCATATTTGGGACATCCTCGTAGGGGTGGTTCTCTTTGGATTGCCTGGATCCGGAAATATTGACTCAAAACTCGCACAATCTGGGAGATTTCTCCTACATCGGTGGGGTCTTGGGTTTGGAAAAGAGTTCTAAAGTCTCATGAAGAGGCACATATGTTCATTACTGGTGCAGGTCCTTCTTTGAAATGAGATGGTCAATCTATGCCACACTACTCTGTTACAAAACTCTGGCGTTCGATTAGACCTTCCTTATCTCCTGTCCCGTGGTCTGGTTTGGTCTGGCAGAAGTATATGATTCCCAAGCACAACATATTGTTATGGTTTATTGTCCGGGATCACCTCTTCGTTGTTTGCCCCTATACCCAATTTGTTTTGCAAAACTGTTTGACTGGTTTTTCTTTTCCCCTTGCATGTCAAGATTGGGCAGAAATGCTGAGCTAGGCGTTGCAGATCTTGAAAGGTTCTGGTATGCTGAAGTAGATTGGGAATTTGATTTGGGTGACTAATTTAAGGTCCGTCTAGAAAGAACGATGTAGGCGTTGTTATGATGAAGGTTCAGTGTTGTTGCCAGCTCAGCTGATAGCAAGAGTTCGTTTAGAAGTTCGATGATTTAGATAGTAAACAGGAACTTACCGATTAACAAAGATTGTAAGGGTGCTATTACAGTTGTTGAGTTTTTTTTTCTTGTGATGATCTGGTACACTTTGAGAGTTCCCTTAGTTAAAAGCTAAAAGCGTACCTGGAGTTTAATCTAAATTTTTTATTAACCATAATTAAAAAATTAGGTACCCAAATATAAAATATAAAAATATAGGTACTAAACTATAATTTGTCATTTAGATTCATGGATCAAACTTAGGGGAGGGTTTGCCCCGTGATAATTTTCCCCTGTTCCTTAAGAAGTTGCTGGGTTTGGTCCCTCAGCCCTCGCAATGGATGGCCATTATTGCTGTCTTATGGCGGATTTGGAAATCCCGTAATTGGGTTGTTTTCGAGGGAAAGCAGTTTGGTCTCCCAGCTCTTATGCGGCAGTTTTGGCAGCAGGTTGAGGAATGGGCGCGGATACCGGGTAATGACCATCAAGCTAATCGGGTGATGGAAGTGCTGGAGCCTCGCCTGGTTAATCCTGGTGAGTTTGTTTGTCGGTGGGATGGGGCTACGAGAAGGGGGTCGCATGCCGCTGGGGGAATGGTGCTTTTGACGCCCACCGGAGACATCCATCGGGTTAGTGGTGTTACCTTCCCAGGATATGACGACCCTGCGGTTGTGGAGCTGTTAACGCTGCGTGCAGCCATTCTTTGGTGTTTAGGACAAGGTTTCTTCTCTGTCAGATTTGAAGGCGATGCGAAAGTGGTCATTGACAAAATCAGCCATGGGGACACTCGTGATCGCAGGATGGGTGCGGTTTTGGAGGAAGTGTTAAATCTTTGTGCCAGCAACCCAGGGTTTAGTGTTCGGTTTATAGGTCGGTGTAACAATAGGGTAGCCCATTTGGTGGCTAGGAAAGCCCTCTCCTTGTACCCGACCATGAGTCGTGCTTTTAATTTTCAGGCCTGGCTCTTCTCCAGGATGTAACTATCTCTTTTGGTATCAATATATGATTATCTTTTGTCAAAAAAAAAAAAGAATCCACCTATCCAATTGGATTTAGATAAAATAAATTGAATTTAAATAAACTGAATTAGTTGGATATTTCAATGAACAAGGTCCAAAAAGGAGTTAGAGACGTAAGGTGAGCGTTGAGGCTTCAACTAGCGCCTAGCTCGCCTAGGCGTTGGAGGAAAAATAGCTATTCGCACTACATGATGAATGAAATAATAATCTACGACACTTCCTTACTTCAGTTAAAATGATTAATAACTTACTCAACATTTAATGACAAGAACATAGCTCACAATTCATAGCATCATAGCGCAATAGCTCACAAAGTTCTTGAGCTATTGAAAATATTAATATAGAAAATTAATTTTGTAGTTGGTGTAAATTTTCTCCTCTAATATTGACTTCCTAGATTCATCTAGTAATGTTTAGGAGAGACTTATGCCATGTTCACTTCCATTTTCGTTTCCTATTTCCAGTTTTCATGTCATAAATTTGGCAACCGAAACGAGAAAACTTGTTTACTTTTCATTCTGTTTTCTATTCGTTTCCAACTATAAAAGCAGAAAGTGACAACTTCCTGTTGTTTTCGGAAACGACAAAATGTTGTTTTCACCTGTTTTCAACATATGTTTTCTCGAAAACAGGAAACATAAATGAAAGTAAACAAACCCTTAGATGTTGCTTGACGTGTTCCGATATCTAATTAGGCGCAAAACCACTAGACAAGGCTTTTTTGCTATTGCCTTGCGCCTAAACGTGCTAAGCGTATGGTTAATCGTGCTTTTTGAACCATGAATGAAGAGATTTATTAGATTCTCGCATTTGGATACTAATTGTTACTCTAATACCTATTCAAACACCAGTTTCAAACTACCATCAAATATATATGATCGCTATAATTAAATGATGCCTTTTCCACATTGATTGCATTCCTAACAAGAATAGTATGCTTTGATATTTGGCCAAACATGATTCACTACTAGTACTAGACTCACATGTATTGGAAAATTGAGGAATTCGTTATTTTAGTCTGGATTCGACAAAGATACACGAACACATTCCCTTCACATGCGTTTTGTGTTTCCAAGCATAACTGTTCTTTTTTCTTTCTTTTAAGTTATGGCATGCACTTTGCATTTTGGCCTAACTCAGAAAACCTAAGATAACTACAAACATGAGCTTTCAAATAAAATGATGGTATGTTCAAATTTTCAAATCAAATCACAACTATAGTCGGACTCTTTTGGTTGGTCGTTAACATAGACAATAGATTATTTTTCTCGTTAACGAATTGAGACTAAATTGGAAAATATTTCGTAGCTACCATATCAACGGTTTGTTCGTCAATTTTTTTTTAATCTTTAGAATTAAAATAAGGGTTACCGCCACCTTATAATCTTTAGCTTCCAAAACTAATAATTTCTGTCTTCTTGGCTACTGAATCAACCAACCTCAAAGAATGTGTGCCGTAGCCATCTCATCTTCTCGCAAGTGACGCACCATATCAGTTGGTTGTTTTACCTCAGCGGATCACTAACGGATTTCGGAGGCCAGCCGTCGGTAGGCTAAGCTTCATTACATTTTGGTCTAGATTCAGTGAACCATTTCTACAAATTTGCGAATTCCAATACAAGGAAGTGCAAGTGGCAGCAAAATACAGATTTCATATTGCTTGATATGGTTGTTTCGAGAATTAGAGTCTAAATGTCTAGATTTTGAATCATTCAAAAAATCATAATTAATATATTGTTGTTGAAACATATTTAAAAATGTTAGCTGCTATTGTAACATTTAATTAAAAATAAAATATTTTATTTGTTTTTATAAAAAGTCAAATTTATGCTTAACTAAAAGAATCAAAATGGCTAGAAATATTGAGATTATTGCCAAAGGTATTTAATGAAAAAAATAAAAAAGGAATAGATAAAATGGAAGGGAAAAAAAAATCAAAGATATATAATCTCTCGAAAGATGAGAGATTTTATATTTCTAAATTTTAGAGATTTGAACTTCCCGAATCTAAAATACATAATACTAAAACAGGAAAAAAAAGTAACTTTCTGCTAAATCTATGAATTTAATGAATCTATGAATTTCAGTGACTCCATAATTCAATTCATTTTCTCAAAAACACCCCTCAATATCTAAGAATGAGGATGCAACCGTCCGATCGAGATTAGACCAAACTCATGAGAACCGCTGTCCAATTATGAACCACACCTTGGAACCAAAGACCGAACCAATAATGCATTATGTCCAATTTGGTCTAGTCTAAATGTCAATTCGGTTCATTTTTCTTCATAATTTAAAGAATTCACAGGACCAAAGACCGGATCATATTATATTTATTACACTATAGTCTATTCAAGGCGTTGGTTCGATCCGGTTCACTTCGAATCAACCATTGCACACCCCTAAAATTCACCAATTTAAGTTTAAAATCATCAGTTTATGATGGCACAAACCCATTTGTTACGCCTACGTACACATTACAACAGGACATTGGTACGCTCAAGTTGGTATAAAACGCGGGACTATTCGGATATCATCTTGACGGCCACATGAACCTCTCCATGTTAGGCAGGCATGATCGAGGAGAAAGCTGGTATCACGAATTTGACCTGCAAATTTTTATGTTCCTACCATAAGAGAAACATCATCTGTCTACCTGCCAGTAATCTGTGCCATCTTAACCCATTCCGACCAGGCAAAAGGGTACGATAACCTATCGATACTACTGCCCAAGGTCGATAATTTCACTTGCCTACAACATAACACCTACATACTATATTCATATTTCGCCTGTGACATAAATAAACAAACAAACAAAACAAAGCTCATGTGCCAAACCATCGACCGACGCCTGTTCATATCTTTACGAACCGTACATCGCTCTGACCGAAGGCTGTTCCGCACCCAGGGCACTTGCGATGCCGTAACTCCAGATTTCTTTGGATGCACGGATTGCAGAACAGGTGGTAACATTTCACGATCACAACCTGTGAATATTGAGAGAAACCAAAAACCAGAACCCAGATCATGTTCTATCCCTGTCAAGTTCAAATGAAGCTATAATATATATTCAGCTGGCAAAATACACTTACTTCCTTGGGCCGATCCGAGCATACACTGCACTTGAGAATCCTTTTGCAGTCATTAATTTCATCCTGGAGTCTTTCTATAGCAGCTTCACTGGTCTCTGAAATCAACTCGGCGATCTGATTGTTCAGCTCCAACAGCTCTTCCTCCACTTTCTGCCTCTCATATCTGGTTCACCAATATTGTGAGTTCAATTATCATATGTGTTGTTCAGAGGAAACAAGTAAGGAGGGGAACATATATGGCTTGGTTGTTTTAGCTAAACAAAGAAGTAACCTGAAAAAGGTTCCATTAAAAGCTAAAAGCCTAAATTCATAACGCATCAACTCGATTTTTTGTAAGAACCCAATCAAATACACCTTCCGTAACATCTTTTTCTTGGCCACCTTTTATCATTAGTAGCAAAAGTGGAAACAAACACAGCCTAAATAAAGGTGACGGGTACAGGAGCAATAGAGCAACCACTGGTATATTATGGAGCACAAAATGGATTTCCGTATATTTTTTATCCTATTAACTGTAAATCACTTGTTTCTGGAGTTATGAGTTATGACCATGCCGAAGCACTATTACTATACGAGTAACAGAGGTGGGAAGAAAAAGAAAAACAAACCTTTCATTCTCCAGCTCTGTTCTTACTTCGTCCGACTTCTTTTGGATCTGCTCGTATTCCTTTTCAGAAGAAGCAATAGCATATTTGATCCATTTCTGTTCCTTCTCAGCATCTGTTAGTTCCCACCGAGCCATCTCGAGAGTGACTGCTAGATGTCTTTCTTCTTCAGTATACCGGATTGCATCAGCAAAACATGTTTTCATCTGCAAAAAGTCGATCTTACTGGAGATGCAGAAAATTCCAATGCTCATGCAGAGCACATGATTGGCGAAAATGGGAGACAGGGAGGGAGACTCACTTGTTCCTCACTATGGGCGATCCTCGTTTTCACTTGTTCTATTGATGCATTTAACTGTTGAAGTTGCTTTGTCAGGGCCTGTTTCTCAGCTACCAAAATGCCGTGGGCCTGCTTTGTCTTCACACTATCAGAAACGAGCTGCATGAATTAGAAAAATAGTAGTGAGTATAGATGGGTGGACATTGACTGTTATCATAAACATATTTCTCATGCCACCTAGATTAAAAAAATAAAAAGATTTCTAATGTGGACAAAAAAACCTATGAATGGTGAACAACAAAGTAAACCTTGATATTGTAGTCATCTCTTTCAGTAACTTGTTGCAGTAGATGCTGGTTCTGCGTCTGCATATCTTCATAGGCTTGACCAACAGTCTGGATCCGTGAATAAATTTGGTATTAACAAGGAGGGGAGGGAGATATTAACAGGCGATGCTTGGGGCATATATCAATCCAGGAGCAACGTAGAAGGAGATAAATACACCTTAATCAACTGACCTCAATTTCAGAAATAAATGCCTCGGCATCCTTCTCTTTGATAGCAATTGCTTCATTGAGCTCCATTACATCTCTGTATCAACAGTCAAGCAAAAATTTCATGCCTATTGGTTCTAGAAACAGTGACAAATGTCAGCAGAAATCAAAGAGCGTTAGACAAATTGTGAAATGTGTTATAGCACTAAACGAACAATTAAAGCATGCAAAAGTATTTTGTCCAGCCACTCACAACATTTCCAGAGCAACTTCCTACTAGAAGCTATAGCATCCAGTGGAAAGCTAATCCATAAATCAGAAACGAACCTTTTAGAAGCATCCAATTTGGCCCTTAATTCGGAAATTTCAGCTTCAGCAGCAGTAAGTCTTGTTGGCACGCCATCTCAGCCTCATTAGCCGCTTTAACTCTCAACTGAAGAGGATGTTCATCTAAGGCACTCCTTAAGGCTTCAACTTGAGAAAGAGCCCTCCGCGTGGATTCTTTGATTTCGTTGATGTCTCTGCACAAAGTCAAATTACAACTACTACAGGAATGTATAATTAAGTTGTAAACACAAAGGTGACTTCTTCATGGCATAGAAACAAACAACATCTTGAATGAGACTGCAACCAAGAAATTAGCGCTGGCAAAAAAGAGTTTCAATATCTCAGCAACCCATTTTCTCGTCGTTGCCTTCCCAAGCTAAAGAGAGTCAACCAAAAAAATAGGGGCAATGGGACCAAAAGTATCCGTACCAAGAAGAAAAGAAACCAGAAGAATCTGTACTAAAACAGAATAGTTGACAAACAAGTTTAAGTTGGGGTGAAAAGATGACCAACTCATACTTTTATTTTCGTTTTCTGTATTTTCACTAAGAATATGTGACTTTTTCCCTGGTTTTGTTTTTCGAATTGATCTTATCTTCATTCAGGTTCCACTAATTCGAAAATGAATTGAAATAGGTGCTTAACGTCTCATCTAAGCAGTTCCAACTCGTAAATAACTTTCCAGATAGGAAAGAATACTTGCATGGAGTTGAGAATTCAATTTTTGACCAGTGTTGATAATCATACAAGCCCAACATAATTCTAATCCAAGAAAAGCAATAATCCATACAGCCCACAGAGTACAAAACGATATATCTCGCTTTGTATCTCTCCAAAAGCACGAGAAAGGATGAACTCCAAACAGCCAACTGATACATTGTTAGCTATTTAAATCAATAAATCACGAACGTGAATAGTGTCAAGCAATGTAGTCAAAAGCGAGTTTCTACGTAGAAACGTTTTGGTGATCTAGAAGCGTAATATCGTAAGTTTTTAAGTTTTAAAACGGAGTTTTTAACTACGTAAATTATAAAAACTGAGATTTTGTGTAGAAGCGTTTTAGTGACCTAAAAACGTAAAATCGTAAGTTTTTAAGTTTTAAATCGCGATATTTTGACTACATACTTCCAAGGAGTCGATAACAATGCCCTGGAATGCTAAATTTTTAATAATTATCAATTTTGGTTCAAAAGGAAACTGGAACATCGTTAACCCACTCATTAAAGATGACAATGAGCTTAGAAAATGGAAATCTGATCAGACATATTTCTCCCAACCAGTATTGTTATTGTTATTTTTTTATATTTATTAGAGCATCCCTAGGAACTATAAAGCATTAACAACATATGAAGGATCTAAGAAGCATGAAACAAAATCCAGGATATGGTATGAAAAGTATGAGGAAATTGGATACTTCAACCTAACTAACAACATTTTAAGTTCAAGTCATTTCACCATGTAAACTCTCCTATTCAGAAAAAAGCCAAACCTAATCCTGAATCCCAAATGTTTCTCTGACAATAGAGACAAATACAATAAACGAAGAGGCAACCAGTTGTCAGAGTCACAGACATGAAGCATACCTATTATCAGAGCCTTCCTGCCCATACATATCCAATATCGTCTGCAGCTCCAGTTTCTCCTTCTGCAAACTTTCAACCTGCAAATTATTTATCTTCATTACTCATTCTGGCGAACCCATGGAATTTTCTGCCAAGGAGACATATGATTGAAGGTATTCCTTCCGTGGTCCAGTATCCAATTGGTTTTTAAAGAGTGTGCTCAAAAACAGAATTTTCCTGCTACTAATTCCATGAGATGGTAAAGCTACATGCTGCCTGTCACAAAGAAGAGAGAAAAATGTTGCTGTCCGGACCAGACAATCAAAATGTAAGAGACGCAGCCCCACCCCGCTGCTGTCTGGACAAGACTATTAATTATAAGTTGTTTATCTGGTCACTAATTGATGGTCTGCTCCATCACAATTCAAGTTTTTGTACTTCCATTTCAAGATGGTGCCAGAAAAGGTTGACCACAATCTGATACATGTCACCGACGATATTACAACTTTACAAGGAAAGCTGCACCAGTGGTACTGTTTTTTATCCAAATGGGTTAATGGGCATTAACTTCACATGGTTAACCAACTAATAACCCCCCACCACCCCTAAATCCATTAAGCTTTTGCGTTTCCATCTTTTACAGGAAATCTTAAGTAAAAAAGTTTACCACCATGAACCATGCACTCTGACATTTCAGTGACAGCAGTCATCCTAATCCCCAATTGAAGTTGTCTCGCCAATAAATAAAGCAAGAGCACTTAATGTCTATTTTGTCAATATGGGAAGATGTTAAAACCTTGCTGCACAAAGCCTGTTAACGAATGTCATTTCATACAGATTTATACCAAGGATAACCTATCCTTCAAACTTTTAACAATTAAAGGAGGTGCCAGTCAAATTCAAGCCTCAAAGTCCTACTTCGCATTATTGTAGGCAACAATACTTTGCCAACAGAATTTTTCAGGTTAAGTGGAGGCTCAGATGAGTATTTAAGGCATTAGATTAACAAAACCTCATTGGAGTAGAAGTTGGCTACAAACTACTGAACAAGATCTAGACATAATCAGTTGAAAGATAAACACCAGAGCACTACCACAGGATGAATAACATACCAAGCTGTAAGCATACCTGAGTCTTCAATGTTTTGATTTCTATCACTTGTTCAGCACACTTTCCTGCCAAGCTGTCTTGTTCATTCGTCTACATTGGAAATAAAAGGGACAATGTAAATGAAAAACGGAATTCATAACTATGTTCAAATAACAAATACAAAGAAGATCAGTTTACCGAACACAAACAAGGAATCAAACCAAAAAGGCAGAATACTAAGTAAGAACATTATAAGGAACATGTCCAACCAATAAACAACTCATGCATTCCATGGCCTAGTTATCTACTGGTTCTCTTTTTCCACAAGGTCGTGCACGAAAATTATTTTTATTTCCAATGCCAATTCGACAGCAGTTTAACACGGATGAGAAAACATCTTAATTTCTGAAGCAAAAATTACTACTTTTATGAGCATAGCCAGATGAAAGATAAACTCAAAATCTTATGTTCTTTAGTTAGTTCAATCACAATTTCAACGTGCCTTGTTAATATAAACCCATAAATACTAACAATGAGATCGTATAATAGATTTCAATACAAAACCAATGCAGGATACATGTTAAATTGCTTAAGTCACTGTCTCATCAATTCTGAATTCTTTTCACCCAATTCTACATATACAACCAACACATGGAAGCATGCGGAGTTACAAACCTTTTCAATCAACAAAGCTTTCAATGATCGGGATTTTTCTTGCAAGGCAAGTGCTTCATCTGCTGTTTGCTTCCATCGATTCAATTGAACTTCCATCATACTCATTTCCTTGGATAATGCAGAGGCCATAACACGGAACTCTGCTTTAATATCCTTTCTCCCTAATTAAAAAATTGGTTCAGTAAGTGACAAAAACAGCTACGAGAGACAACTCTAAGTATAGTACAATTAATTTTACTTACCAGAATCTTGGACAGCTTCTTCCGCTTTAATCTCAAGATCATTCTTTTCAATCTTACACTTTTGCAGCTGAGCTTCGAGCTCTTCAATTCCAGAATTGTCACTGGCTATTGAATTCCTGGCAAAGTCAGCTGACTCCAATTTTATACTTACTTCCTTCTCCCTTCTGACAATTGAAGACCTATCAGCCTGAAGTAATCTGTTTAACAGACTGAACCAACAATATATGTATGCAAGCATGTTCACAGAAAAAGAAGCTCATAACCTGCAAAGCCTCGAGCAGAACTTTATACCGCTCCACTTCAGCATTCCAGTGTTGAAGCTGATCGTTCACTAAGTTGTAGAGACGAGATGATAGATATGTTTATCATCCTTCAGGTCATTCTATGAATATCCACTTGGACGATTAGACGCTTAGACAGACAAAATTGAACTAGTACTTCAGAAAATTGGAAAGACCATGCAGTCTAAGTGCACAAACTACAATACCTGAAGAACTTCCAAATCTTTTGATAAGATCTGATTTTCTTCTTGTGCATCTTGAAGCTCAGAAAGACGGGCAGCAGCTAGCAACTTAAATTTCAGGACAACACACTTAGCAATTGAACAATAGAATGTAAGCAGGCATAAAAGGCTTTAGCATGGCTCAGTACCTTAATTTCCTCTATGGAATCTCGCAACTCTCGCAATCCCTTAGATCTATCAGAAGACTTCTCTGGGGACAGGCTTCCATTTGCAGCACTTGGAATTGGACCATGTATTTCAGCATCAGTATCTTTTTGCATCTCCAGATTGATCAACTTTCTTCTGCTGTCTTCTAGTTCAGCCATACATTCTTCCAGCTCACCTTTTAAAGAAATACAATATGTTACAATTAAACCTATTAGCAAGATGACCAATCTAACTTATGCCACAAACAGCAATGCTGGCGGAGTGATATACTCTGTGAGTAGCACAATCCCCATAAAGTCGAAGTCACTGTGTTATGTATAGCAAATATAAATGAATCATATAAGAAACCTGCAAGGCGTGAAATTTCAGATTGTTCTGTTGAATGCATGCTTGTGTAATTCTCAATTCCCTCCATGTATTCTTTATGCTTTACGTGGAGAATATCAATCACCTCCTGCAGATTCCGTGCTTCTTCTCTCATCATATCATCAAGCCTCGACAACTGAATGATGGCATCTGAAGATGAAAAAAATCAGTTACAACTAAGGAATCAAAAGTTCGTCCACAACTCAGCAGATCCAACATAAGATCTTAAAGTTTGAGACAAATGCCTAGATCTGTTGATCTGACCTTCTGCGGATAGCTTTCCTTCAAAGCCTGTCTTATGCTCACAGTCTCCGTCCTCTGAGTATCAATAATGGATTCCAAAGACTCCATCAACCCTATACTGGAGGAAAAGGCGTGAAGCAAGCATTTCATTGGTATATTCAGCAATTCCATCATTTTGACGGTTTTGAAGTGAATCCTTCCCCAGAAGTCTACAAACGAAACACTTCCTCAGCAGGACAAGATGGAACCGAACCTAAAAAGTGTACCAAAAAGATTGTACCACACAAAATATAAGATGCAACAGGAGAAGAAACCGGAAATAAGCACTTCAGAAGAGTTGAGGATAGTGGCATTACAATTAGTGGTAAGAACAAAAGCTGACCGATACCTCGAGAATAATCTGCATCATCGAAAGTTTGTAGCACATTCGGGCCACCACCAGCTCGTGCACTAAGTAGAACCAAATCGTCGACCAACTGCAGGAAGTATACAAATCAAAGAGAGGAAGCAGGAAATACCCTCAACAGAGAGAATATTGAAAGAAAAGTACGAGAAACCAAAGAGATAAGGTGAGAGAGAGAAACAAGCTCCACCCACCAACCTGATTCCACACTTGATTTGTTGTGATGAGAATCTCATCATATGAAGCCTGATTACCTTTCAGTTCTGCAATCTTGGCTTCTAGATCACGCAATTCGCGCTTTTGGAGATCCAATTGTTGAACAAGCTTTTGATTCTGGTGATGGAGAACCATAACATCAACCTGAATAGAAAACCCAACCTGAGAACACTTCCTCACAGCTGAAAAACCTCCACGACGCATATAAATCATGTGCATAAACAGAGGATATATACAAGAGCATCCTTGATGAGTACAAACCATGTCGTATATATGAATAATGATAGATGATCTTTGAGTACAAGCAGCACATCCCGATTCATAGTGGGCCAATTCAGAGTTTCATTTGTGCCTACCCCAACACCAATTCGACCAATTCTAGAAAGCAAGCTCAGGTAAGTTGGATAATAGCCACCAAACCAATCAAGACGGACATATTCGCCTACCTCACTCAGACTAGAGTCTACGACTAAGCCCCTAGCCTCCTCTCCACCTCAATCAGCTCTCAACTGAACTCAATTTCACCAACGAGAGAGTGCGAAATGAACAGGAAGACACAGTAGGAATTGCGAAAAACCACTTACAGTTAACCTAACCATCAACTAAGTTCAGTATACTCATCACACAAAGTTAAGTATAGGCAAGCGACGCAATTGCAAAAAAAGCCTTTTCGAAAAAACACTATCAATCCCTACCCCTCGCTGCAACCAAACAGAAACACGGCAACCAGTGCGAGGACCGAAATAATAGAAAAAGGAGAGCGGGGAGAAAGTACGGTTTGATTCTTGGTCGGAGAACTGGCGTGATTACGAGACATGGCGGGCGAAACAGGAGAATCGAGATGAGGCCGCTTCTTGTCTGGCTCATCGGATTCTGAGTTCTCCATTAAAAAGGAAAATTCAGAGGCTGCCGGACCGTTTCCGCTCTCGTAATTTCTTCCGTCAAAAAACGGTGAGCGACAGCCAGAGAGAAAGCGAGACGGCGTGGTAACTGATTGAACGCCACACCCGTATCGGCTTCACGGCTCCGGTGGTAACGAAGTCGCCGTGGGGAGCAAAGAGAGGAAGAACCGCGCCTGACTTTAGGAATGGCAATGGGGCAGGTCCGGGGCGGGTTTCTTGGTACCCAGACCCGCCCCGTGGCAGGGCGGGTCCAGGTCGGGTAATTGATCACGGGTCACGGGTCGGGGCAGGTCGACCCAATGGGTATGCAATTTATTTGAAAAACATTAGAAAGATTCGTTATTTTTATTATAAAACTAAGAAAATAAACAATATTATGACAATTGTAGTTAAATTATTGGAGAAATTGAGGTTTTCACTAATTTACTACTTTATTATAGCTAAAATATGATGCGATAAAAGTAAAATTCAAAGTAATTTGACTAAGATTTCATGTAATTTAGACACAAACGGGTCGAGAATGGGGCGGGTCAGGGCAGGTCGGACCCGCCCCAAAACAGGTCAAACAGGTCGGGTAAAACGGGTCAGGTCGAAATTGCCATCCCTACCTGACTTGGTGGTGGAAGAAGAGCAACTGTTGCGCTCACTGAACCAAGAGGGAAAATAACGGAGGAATAAAATTAGAAAATAAATAATACAGTGACGGGTTTTTTTTGTTGCTAGTTGCTACCCGCCGTTCCGGTCAACCGGTGGGCGCGTGGGAGATTTTGCTAGACGCACTGGTCAGTGGTGACTCAGACTCTGGTCAAATCTGCCGCCACTGGGCCAGAAGAAGAAAGTTTGTTTGGAAAAAAATTAATCGGCTCACTCACAAATCCGCTACCCCTGCACTAATAGGGCTAGATTTTATGTCACATCGGGCCAGGTAAGATCCAACGAAGGAGAGAGGCTGGCTCTTATGGCTCATTTAAGTGAGCCAGTGATGGGTTTGTGAGTAGAAGCCGGCCCATTCTGTGATTTAGAGGACGCGTCGAAGAAGCAGCTTTATGGGCCCGCTTCAGTTTGGATGGAGATTTTGGAGAGGAATGGAGAGAGAGAAAGGATAAGAAAAACTCATGCAATGTATATGTTGTGTTATTGCCATTGCAAGATATTATGGACGAGAAAGTAATGATATGGTATTGGTTGGGGTAGGGGTAGTTACTAGTAGATAATAGTTAGTTATATTTGTATTCGGCCAATTAGGTTATGAATATGTAATTTTCGGCACTTGATAAGGAATATCGGACAACATGGATTCATTTAATTAATTAATTTTAATTAGATTATTTATTTTTTAAATTGATGCATTTAACTAATTTATCTATTTTAATTAGATATATTGTTTTAATGTATGAACTTGAAAAATACATTGTTTAGAAGTTGAATAATTTTGGTTATTCCTCAAAAAATGTGGAAGAAAAAATGAGAGATTGACAATCAAATACAAATATTGTATTTTGGTGAATGATTCTGGTGGGTTTCATACTCAATTACAAGTACTGTATTTCATTTTAAGACAAAACAATGAATTATCCAAATTACATGTATTATCTTTGTCTAGATACATCATCCAAAATTCTAACTTCCAAAACGACCCCTAAGTCTCTTCTTATTCTCTATACATAATCTTAGTTTCATCTTAATCTCCGTATATCATGTTCAAACGACTTTGCGATAAATTACCATCACTAAAAAGATTTAATGTACAAATGAGAAAAGTAAAAAAAAAAATACAAACAATAACGTCAAATTCAAATAACTTTATAATTATATTCATCAAAATTTGTGTTTACCATTTGGTTGCACACGTTCTTACTCCAAGTTAACGTGATGCCAAAGCGAACTTCACCCCTTTTCCCTTGTTCTCCGCAAAAGTTTTCTCATAAGAAATTATCTCTCTTCCCCTCCTAATCTTGAATCACACTCTCTCCTACTCTCAAATCAAATAACACAATAGAAAAATAAAAATATTAGAAAATGTGGGGGGAAAATACCCAGAAATAGAGTTTGCTGCATAAGCAAAAATAGGTAAAGATAAAAGATGTTCTCACAATGTTCATCCCTCAAACTCAGGCTCTCCCCCTCCTTTGCTTCCATGTTATTACATAAAAAGATTCCAGCAGACCAGTAAAAAAGCAGGGGAGACAATCTCATTACCAAGAGGAAAACAAGGCACAAGACTTTAGACATCTAAAGTACATCTGAACCCACCAACACCCACTTGAACTGGCTAGCATGCTGATAATACGGGATCGATTCGTGCGTGTTCATATCGTCGAACTACCTTATTTTATGTATTTTAATTTTTGAATTGTTGAGTCAAAATGATAATATTGTTTTTTTATCCGATTCAACGACTGAGATTAACAATAGGGATATTAATGGATATTGAAGAGCTCCAATTGTCCCGTCTCAATATAATAATTAAATTCATCTGCTATTTCTTAAACAAATAAATAAATAACAGGGGAAATATAAAGAGACAACAATCTCTGGTGGAAGAACGCAAGGGAAAAAAAAAAACCCACATCTCTCACCAGTGACAACACATAAACCTGAAACCTATTGAAATCAATCAAGTTGGTTTCAAGTTCTGGAACATAGCATCCCACCTGATCTCTTCAGCAGGAGTTGACCAGTAGTAGACTTGTTCATCATCAAAATTACCCTGGTGATGATCATAAGGATCATCATGACAGTAATCATCATCACCACCACCAGCCATTAGCTTCTCCACTCCATACATCCTTGAGAAGCTGCTCATGAGCCTGGTACTGCCACCACCAGCAAGCCCATTCACCATTAATGGGCTCCCATTAGTGAGCAGAAGCCTCTCTTGCTTACAGTCACCAGTGCTCACCATCACCACCTTCTTCTTCATCATCAGCTGGTTGTTGTTGTTGTTGTTGATGTGTCTCTTGGGCATGGCTCCTTTCCTCCTAGGAACCACCATAAGCCCCCCTGCCGCCGCGGATTCCTGCCTCCCAATCCATGCCCTGAGGTACTTGGCCAAGCTCCTCTGAGTTCTTCTGATTGCAACCACCATCCTTGCAATGGGATGTGGGCGATTGTACCCTCCTCCCCTGACGAATTTGTCCTTCCTGGCAAGCTTCAGGATCTCCAGCCTGTGCTTGGCGATGGAGATCCCCATGCTTTGGAGGAACTCATGGTTGAAGTATGCTATGTCTTCTTCCTCTAGCTCGTTGTTGGTGAAGGCTACACCATACTCGTACACCAGAGATGGATCGAGCCCGGTCTTGGACAGCCATGAGAACCAATCCATGTGTGATTTTTGAGGTGGAGTGTGTGAATGGAGTTTAGAGTTTTGAGGTGGAGAGATGGAAGAGGGTTTGGAGCTTTATTCAGTTGTGACTCGCTCGACTAAAGAAGTGAGAATTGGTGGTTGGGTTGATGCTAGCTTGAGAGTGACTTAAAGTGGGGGAAAAAGGGGGAGAAGAGAGGAAGTGTAATGTGGGCATGGTTCTAAAATAGCAGAAACTAAAGGGAAAGTTGGGGGGGATGCAGAGTATGTATTTATATGAGAACTGAGAATGAATGAAATGCTGCCATCAATCACGGGTAGGGAAGGGAGAAAATAAAGAAGAAGTGCATCAGAAACTACTTTGGTTGCCTTTTCAGTGTGCGAAGTGGCTGCAGGGGAAGTGCATCAGAAGGATGGGATCCCATTTTAAGTTTGAAACTTAGCCATGTACTTTGGTTTCGGAGAAGGGTTCCATGGTGTGCTTCGGTTTCGAATTGATATAAATATTACCGTCGTTATTATTAGAATACTTTAAACTGTGTACCTGGGCGATTGGCCGTATTTGGGCTGACACGATACGAGCACGGCTCTGGCCTGTTTATCTCGTGTCATGTTTGATACGATCTGTCGAACTCTGTGTCGTGTTAGTTCATTTTTTGAAATTTGCCAGGCTCATATACGATTTGAATTGTATGTGCATATTCATACTTGTGTCGTGCTCATATTCGTACTCAAAGAAAAGGAAAAAATTTAAAAGAGGGAATAAAAAAGAAGGATAAAATTGAGCGGGGAATGAAAGTATTAAATATGAATGTTTGAGAAAATTAACAAATAAGAGGAAGAAGAAAATTGAAAGTATAGCAAGTATAATTTTGCCTACATGTGTCTTTTATCATTTTTATTTATGATAGTAATTACATATAATATCTTTATGTTCACTTCTAATAAGTAATAACTATAAATAGTTATTTGTGAAGTTTTATTTTGTAATAGTAGAACTTAATAATTCTCTTTATGTTTATTTTCTATAAAAAAAATCGTGTCATGTCGTGTGTATACTCAATAGAGTCTAAAAATCAATAGGTCCGACACGACCCACTTATAGACCGTTGGTGTCTGCGTTCGTGTCTATGACCATGAAGTTTAGGCATGACACGACTCATGAAGTATTTTCGCTCGTGTCGTGCTGACACATACATTTCGTACCCATGCTCTAACCGTGTCGTGCCGTGCCAGCTCGTGGACGGCCCGGTCGGGTGTCAGGTACACATGAAAGTGCAAAATGTAAGTGAAATGTTTTCGAGAAAAACACAATTATATTTCGAGTAGTTAACTGGCGTTTTTGAAATTTTGATTTTAAGATTAAGAATAACACTTCATTAATGTTTCAAATATTTTAACATTGTGTATATGTATTCAAAAATAAAAATATGCATGATAAGTGTCTTGTTCTTGATATATAAATTAACAGGTAAGACGATGATAATACATGATCCACATCAATAGGCTAACCTATACGCGGAGTTAAGGGGTATTGGTCTGTCACAAGATACAAGTACGTTTTGATAAATACATAATAAATCGCTATGTATGTTTATACAAGGGATCGAACTCGACACTATAAGGTACCATAAAGATATTTACCACTCCAATAAGCTAAATTAAAATTCCGAGAAAAGCACACACACAAAAAAAATATTACCGCGGGGCCATAATATATAGATGGAGTGCATTTTGGTTTCTGGCAAAAAAGAACGTAATTTCTCTTGGGCAATACTTGACTGCTGTCTGGGTTGCAGCCCAGCGCTGCTACCCATTGACGTGGCCACATATTATTGGTTCAAACATATTAATTAATTATTTAACTTAATTGGACAATGATGGGGCGTAAATAAAAATTATGACGGGACGGGAAACGGACGGAGCCCAAACGGCAAACAGTGCTGCCTCTTTAAGTTTTATTGTATTATTATATTTGTAATCTTTTTTTATTAATGGATAAGGTAGATGGTAAAATTAAACACACATAGGTGCACTCCCATGTTTGTTTTTTCTTGGTACTTAGTAGGATTATGATTGTGTTTGAATAGATTATTTTTATAGAATTAATTTAAGCATTTAGGGGATGAATTTCATACTTGCTATTTTTTTGTACAATTCATTTGGGATGAATGTTTGCCTTTTTTTAAGATTTGGCTATTATATATTTTGTTTAAAATCAAAGATTTGAATATTATATTTCATTTACCTTTAAAAAAACATAAAGAAGCTAAAAACTATGACAGTGATGTTTAAGACAAAGAGGCTTGGAGGACTACAATATTAGGCTGGAAAGCATAGTTAGTAAAATACGA